TCTTTCTAAAGGGCAATATTAAGAGTTACAGGCCGTTTATGATCACCTGCACGAGACAGATTAAACAAAAACTCACGAGATTATAAATGGCTCATTGAAATAAACAGGCAAAATAATCTCTCGTCACCAAACGGACAAACTTTAAACTCCCTAAATGGGACTTGGCAGATCTCAGTGTAGCGCAGGAATAAAAGGACATTTTTGAATGCACCATTTTAATCACTTCCCAGACATCTTGGCAAACTAAGGTCTCCCCCACTACGGATTTTTCCTCCCAACGTGTTTTGCTTTTTGCACAGGACCACCACGTTGTGCCTCCGCTTTTAAATCCAGCATCCTTTATGCTATATGTGAAATCTCGATCCCCCCAGTCCATAAACTGACTAGACTAAAGAGCAACCAACCCCCAGACACTAAATGCACCGTGATCAGGAGTGCTGCGTTTATTTCCTTACAGAAGGAAACCTCAGCTGACTGCATTGCCATTTGGAAGATGAATAGCTGGACAAAGTTGTTTTTCTTTTCCGGTCGCCTGGATCAGCTGTCCCCGCCTCCTCTCCCTCCCACCCAAACCCCTAGTCTGGAGCTTGTATGGTACGTTCCGCACGTGAGCTGGGTGCTGGTCTGGCTGGCGACGCGCGTGCCCTGTGGCCAAACACTGATCAGTGAGTGCAAACTACCAGCACAGTGTGTGACTGTGACTGTAGGAGAGAGAGAGAGAGAGAGAGAGGGAGGGGAGACAAACTGCTTCACACTTTCCCCAGTGCACAAGAGAGACAGAGGCTGCATGTGCACAGTTTTGCTCAAAGATCTCCAAAGACTCTCAGCATCCCACAGATTCAATCAAAAGCAACAACAAAAAATCAGCTGTTGTCAAACATGGATGAAGGAATCCCTCGTTTGCAAGACAGGCAGTTGCTAGAACATGTGGATTTTATAGGGTAAGGAGCCAGTGCAATATATCTCTGTCTCTTATCACTAGTGTTTCGTTTCTTTTTAAGAAACTGATATAAAGCATTGAAAAGAGAGATTGTTCTTAAATGGTGTCTGATTCTTGTCTTCTTTTTTGCAGTCGGGGACTATCTTTGGAGCTGTGCAATATTATATGCATATCTTATGTTTTTTTCTTTCTGTATGTATATATTCCCACTTATGAAAGTGATAGATAGCTCATTGACATACTACCATTGGATCTCTTTCATTTTTGCAGACTGGACTATCCATCCTTGTATTTGTGCAAACCCAAAAGAGGCATGAAAAGAGACGAGAGTAAGGTAAGAATAAGTTTCTGAAGCTTTTCATGACTTGCCTAAATACTTAATTGGGGTTCGGTGTTTTTTATAGCATAGCTTTACCCATAACCGCATCCGAGTTTCTTCCCTTTTAACTTCCCCTGAATTATAAGTGTGTCTACCGGAGAACAAGCATACAAGGGAGGGCTATACATGCCTTGCAATTTGCACTACATGTGGACATTTGTTTTTGTTTTGATTGTCATACTAAGTGAATGTAACATTTGGCTTTTCCTGACTTTACTAATTAGGAAACATACAAACTGCCACATAGATTGATAGAAAAGAAGAGACGAGACAGGATTAATGAATGCATTGCTCAGCTAAAAGATTTATTGCCTGAGCATCTGAAATTGACGGTAAGGTTTATATATTTCATTGTGGGAAGCATTATACAATATGTTCTTTGTGATTATCTTAAAATTTAAGGACAGGAACTGTAGAGCTGAAAAAGTATGACTTGTGTTGGATGGTAAAGGTTTTCTACAGAGGTGTATGTGTTTCAGTTTAAAGCAGCAATCATTTCTAACATGCTTATGTAAAACCAGAAGCTTTAAATATAATACTCATTTCAAAAGGGAGGTTCCTGAAGTTAGGGACATAGAATATAATGGGCAATTGTATTGTGTTAGTAACCAAGTGTCCCTTTCCCCCCTACTTTTCAGACATTGGGGCATCTAGAGAAAGCTGTAGTTTTGGAATTAACTTTGAAACACTTGAAAGCTTTAACAGCCTTAACGGAGCAACAGCATCAGAATATAATTGCTTTACAGAATGGTAAGTCAGTTTCAGAAGATGCCAGCACATAAACATACTCAGGAGACATGGTTGTTAAATTGGAGATCTCATAATACTATAATTCATAGGGGCAGTCCTTTGAATTTTTTTTTCATGTGATTTGAAAGGAATATAATAAAATGCTTAGTGTATTATCTGGCCAAAATGCTGACCTCCAATGAGATGTCACCAGCCACATTGCCATGTTAACTCCCAGCAAATATAGGCATTTGTGCCCCATGAGGCGAGGTAGCCTGGATTGAAAGACTTCCCTAAGAAATCACTGAAGTTACCTTTGTTTTGACTTAAAAGGACAAGCCCAATAGCAGGGACTCCCATGCCGGTGATAGCAGCTGTGTTTATGCTGACTTTTCTTTGCATTCCCCCTCCCATATTCTCCATCACAGGGGAGCGGTCTATGAAGTCCCCCATTCAGTGCGACCTGGATGCTTTCCATTCGGGATTTCAAACGTGCGCCAAAGAAGTCTTGCAATACCTCTCCAGGTTTGAAAGCTGGACTCCCAGAGAGCAGAGATGTGCCCAGCTCGTAAACCATCTGCACGCGGTTTCCACTCAGTTCTTACCCAGCCCCCAGCTGTTGACTCCACAGGTCCCTGTGAGCAAAGGATCCTCCTCCTCCTGTACACAAGATCGCACCGGGCAAAAGCTGGAGGCTCAGACTAACTGCGTCCCTGTCATCCAGCGGACTCACCCGCCCGTGGAGCTCGGCGGGGAGAACGACACCGACACGGATAGCGGCTATGGGGGGGAGAGCGAGGGCCGGCCGGATCGAGAGAAAGGCCAAGCGGCTGGGCTGCCCGGCGTGACTATCAAACAGGAGCCTGCCGGGGACGAGGCCCCAGCGCCCAAGAGGCTGAGGCTGGATTGCAGCAGCAGCGCCACGCTCCCTGCCGCCGCCGCCGCCGCGCTGAGCCCGGAGCACCAGGCAGCTGCTGCCCTGCTGAGACCCGACGCCGCCCTGCTCAGCTCCCTCATGGCCTTTGGCGGGGGCGGGGCTGCTTTTGGCCCGCAAGCCGCCGCCGCCCCCCTTTGCCTGCCCTTCTACTTCATCTCCCCCTCCGCGGCCGCGGCCTACATGCAGCCCTTGCTGGACAAGAGCAACCTGGAGAAATATCTGTACCCAGCCGCCGCCCCCATCCCTTTGCTCTACTCCGGAATCCCGGCCCAGGCCGCCGCCGCCGCTGCCTTCCCCTGCCTGTCCTCGGTGCTGGCGCCGGCTGATAAGGCGAACGCAGCCGCCGCCGCCTCGGCCCTTCTGCCTCTTGACATGGTCTCTGCCGGGCAGCACCTGCCCCATCTCTTCGCTGCTGCCTGCGAGACTGGGCCCAGCCTGGACAGTGACCTTCCCTCCCCGGAAGATCTTTTGCAGCCCGGAAAGGAAAGCCCCTGAACTGTGCTACAGGACATAAGATTCAGCCCACCCATGCTCCCTAGTAGGGAGGAAGAAGGAGCCCATCCTAATAAATAATAACAGCAACAATCAGAAACAACCCACCTACCCACGTTGTGGTTTTAAAGGAGAAAGTGTAATAGATTTGCACGATGTTTCTGTTGTGGTTGTTTTATTTCTTTGGTGTTCTCTCCTGCTGCGTTCCTTCCCCACCAACAAACCAATTTTTCTGCTGTAAAAGATCCTTTGCATTTCTGTGTTTCACACAGAATCACAACTTGTCTCCACATTTACCGAAAGGGAGCAAATAGAAACAGGCTTCAAATCAAACGTTTTGTAAGCCAGAGGGTCAGATTCAGTTTCTGATCCAGAGTGTCAGTGACATTTGAAAGTGGGTAGGCAAAAAAAGTTGCCCTGGGAGTCACAGGCTATGGTTATGGCCTCTCTAGAGATGTGTATTAATAATAATAACAATATATAGAAGCAAATGAAGATCATACAGTATCTGACTCAATGTAGGGTGGGAGTGCTTAACTCTAGAGGCCTCTGCCACTGCTTGAGAATCTTTAAGGATTACATTTGCTACTCAGTATTTTTTTAATGTTTGGCTTTATAAATGCATAAATACATTACAAAAGAAAAGAAAGAAAAAATAGTAAGGATATGCTTTTCTCTAAAGTAAACGTTGCACCTTATTTTGAAATGTTTTTCTGTAGTATCTCTATGTTCCACTTAGTAATTTGCACTTGTTTAAAGAGACTTGGATTGGTTCATTATCAGAATGGGGGAGAGGGGAGAGAAAGAGAAGGTGAGTTTTAAGTACATACGTTCGCACTTTATTGAGAAATGGACCATGAATGAATTGATCTTGAGCCCAGTCCTTCAGTGCTTTGAGTACCCAGAGTTGCTACTGGCTTCAGTCAGAGTTTTGGATGCACAAGGAATAGAGGGTCAGGCCTATGCTATGATTTCTTCTTAGCTAAGGTATAGAGGTATGGCAAGTGCATTTGTTTCCACCTGTCCTTATTTAATTTCAGTATTTTCCTGAGTTTTTATAACCTTGCTTTATAAAACAAACATTTCTGCACTGAAAAAAAAAAAACTGACAACCCTGAACTAATTGTATCCCAAATTAAAAACTGGAGGAAATTATTAAACATCTCAGTTTTTAATTGGAAATGCTTAGAAGATATGGGATAAGGTCCCATGCAGTCCTTTTGTCTCCAAATATTGTGATTTCCCTTTCTGGAGACTGTACAGCTGCCAGATAATCACACAGATAAAGCTTTATTAATAAGGCTTAAAACAAGACCTTGCCTAGTTATTTTTAGTTTGTTGCCAAGGTAGCACTGTGAGAAATCTCACTTGAATGTTATGTAAGAGGTGAGACACAACTGTCTGACTGAGTGAATAAGTATCCTGGGTCTGTTAGTCAGTTTGATTGCATTTGCTGCTGCTGTTGCTACTGTTTGCCTCAAACGCTGTGTTTAAACAACGTTACAAAAAAATCTTACCAGCCTGCAGAATGGCTGTATGTAAATAGTTGTTAATACATCCAATTAATGATGTCTGACATGCTATTTTTGTAGGGAGAAAATGTGTTAATGATATTTTGAGTTAAATATCTTTTGGGGAGGATTTGCTGAAAAAAGTTGCACTTTTGTTACAATGCTTATGCTTGGTACAAGCTTATGCTGTCTTAAATTATTTAAAAAATAAAATACTGTCTGCAAGAAAACAGCTGTTTTAGAACAGTTTAGTATGTGATATATTAGAAATCAATCTTTATATTCAGTATTTTCCAGCACTCCACAAATTCTGTTATCTAAATATTTACACACTATTTTGTGATTTAAAAAAGTCTTACTAAGGAATAAAAGCTTTAATACACAACATGGGGTTGTCTAGTAATTAAAAAATCCTATATTAATACAGCATAATGGATGCATAGCAAACCTTAAAAATGTCTAGTGCGAATGTAGATAGAAATTTATTTTGTCTTTGCATATTTTAAAGATGGTTTTGCATTTGCTTACTTTCCTTTGAGTTTAATGAATTGTATTTTAGAGTGTGTACATTACACAAAGCACTGCATAAAGCATGCATGCCCACACATTTCTAATTATATTTTAAATTGTTCTATGCTTTTTTGCAGTATATTCATTCTACATTTTAAAGTGATAAAATATAACATAATTCACACTATAGATATTGTACATATTTAGTAATTGTCCATAATTATCAGACTTTAATTATCAGATTTATGACAGGTTGATGGCATTTGTTTCACAAATGTTGGGGGAAATCACCTATATCTGAAACTGGAAATATTGTAAAAAACCCAGCTTTATAGGGATACAATCAAATAATTTACAGTATGGGAAAATCTTCCTCTAAAGACCTTAACAGTTTTAATATGGAGGAGATTTGGGGCTTTTTTCCTTTTAAAATTTCATCATCCTGTTCCTGAGAAAATAATTTTTAAAAAAGTAGGGAGAGTTTATGTAAGATATAAATATAAAAACAATGTTTTGTGCTCCCTCTACTGGTTCTTCAGTACCAATTAACAATCAAAGTGTTTTCATAGCTGCACTGACATTGGATTGAGCTGCAGTACAAATATAGTAGCAAATTTTCAAAAAAAAATAAAAGGGGAGCCATGTTAATTTCAATTTCCCTTAGAAATACAGGAACAAAATAAAGAATTCAGGTAACAACATATTTTTTTAAACAACTCAGATGGTATTACGAGCAAGTAAGTCTACATGGTTTCATAGTAAAGCTAAGCTAAACTAATTCACTATAGACATCTAGATGAATCAATGAATTGATATAAAACTATGTATATATTTTCATTACTTGTAATGTCTTCTGAAAGTTTATTGTAAAATATTAATAATGGACCAGATCCTGCAACCGTGTGTAAGTAATCCTGTTGAAAACAGTTATTTATGGGTTTGATCCAGATCCCACCGAAGTCTGTGGAAAGACTGCCATTAACTTCAGTGGTCTTTGGATCAGGATCTGTGCCTGGGATTTCAATCGAGTCAGAGGAATGAAATTCAATTAGGCTTTCACTACAGACAAAAATGCTCAACCTGTCTCAATGGGTGGGCGAAATGTGATGGGGCTTGTGAAAGGGAACAGTCCTAGCAGCAAGGGAGGAGACTCCTGCCCGTGGGAGTCTCTGGTACTCTGGCCAGCTGGGAGAGAGCATGCTAATTGGCCAGCATACCTCAGCTTCTGGGATTTAATTTAGAAAGGGGCCATATGGAGCCCCTTTCAGCTCCATTCCAGCAACCCCATGCTAACCACCCTGAACTAGGAAGGGAATCTGGCCTGACAGATGCTGTGTATCTAGCCAATTGCCTGTTTGCCAGGAAGGATCTTTTTCTCCCATGGATTAATTAGCAGTGGACCAGGGAACTTTTCACCTTCCTCACAGCATCTTCAAGCCACAGTTGATTAAGTAGGAATATGCTTAGTACCTAACTGAGGTACTGGAGGTGGAGTTCTTAATTCATTGCAACTTGCGGTCAGTTTCCAGTGCTCTTAAGAGGATAAAATGAACAGTTCCCAGAGGTAAAAGACCTGGGATTTTGGTGATGGGCCTTGGGATCACGGAATAGAGTGAGACTTTGTGGCCTTTGCAGGCTGAGGTCAGACCTTGTGGCCTTCGCAGGGCAAGGTCCCCACCCTTCTGCACCCTCTGTCCCCCTCACTGGGCAGAAGGTGTTATGACTCAGAGCTGAGTCCTGGGAGTTAAGCTGAGGAGAGCCTACCCCAAACTATGGGTAATCTGGCAGGAGCCCTGTAAAGCCCCACACACTGGAACCAATCAAATACCTGGTATAGGAGAGTGAGGGTGATGGGTGGGTAGCACTTCTCCTCTATGTTAAAGTTTAATAAAAGTTGCAGCCTGCCACTTCATTCCATGCATGTGTCTGTCCTCATTTCATCACTATGTCCACATCAAGTTGTACTGCTTTAACTGTAATGGTATATCCTCCCACCCCCACCACACTGTGGATGCAATTGTGCCAGGATAAATGTTCTTATACTGATGTAGCTAATTCCCCATACAGGAAAGCTCGAAAGCTATACTGGTCTAAGGCACCTTTCTACCAGTATAACTGTGTTTACACTACTGCTATAATTATATTGGGGGGGGGGGGGAAATCACATCCTTAACTGACACAGTTATACCAGTACAAAAATTGTGTCGATCAGGTCCATGGCTTCTTAGAAAATCCTACTCTCAATGAATAGGAGTCACAGGTTAGTATTAGTATCACTTTAGGCTCCATTGGTTTGTAACCCTATCCCAACATCTTAAATTTTATGTTTTAATCAATTTCAATGTTCACAGGTGTAGTAAAAGGAATAATTTTGTTAGTCAGTGCATCAAATATGTTAAAGTTCATGCCCCGTTATATCTTCAAGATATCCTCTTTAAAGCTGTTCCAGAAACAAAATTTAGAGACAAAATATGGATGGTTCAGTAATGTTAATGTTTTAACAAAAACATAAAAAAACTCATAGTTAAAACTGATAATATATTCCTGTAGAGGACAAAAGACAAATGGTAGAAGGAAATCTAAGAACTTTAATTATGAAATTTCTGGCTTTTATCAGTTCCATGCCTTAGCTTTATTTGAAGAAATTCTGTTTTCACATTTTCTTCCAGTTAAAAAAAATTAGACATTGAATGAAACTGATATTTAAAAACAAATTATATTTGTTCTTGTGCAAACGCATATTTAGACATTATTCAAGTTTGTGTTTCCCACCTGATTTTTTTTTTATATTGGTATAATTTGTGGGCCCACTTCTGTATTTCTGGACTTTTAGAATGCAGGACTGGGCTTGATATTTTTTATACATACCTTGCTACATAATGTATTTCTCATAGACCATAATATATTGGCAAATGTATTTTCCTTACACAGCAAACTCTAAAAACAGGTATTATTTATCCAGTATATCATGGTGGCATAAAAGGTTCCCCAAGCAAGGGGAAAAGACTAATAGGGAAGGGTTGTGGACCAAACAGGATGAATAAGTATCTCAGACAGGTTAAGAGAAAGCAGAAAGCCTACAAGGAATGGAAGAAGGGAAGGATCAGCAAAGAAAGGATCAGCCTATACCTCCTCTTGGAAGTAAGGAGGTATAGGCGAAAAGTGAAAATTGCCAAAAGCCAAGCAGAGCTGGACTTCACAAAGGAAATTAAAACCAATAGAAAAGGCTCTTTAGCTATATAAATAAAAAGAAAACAAGGAAAGAAGAAATGGGATTCCTAAGCACTGAGGACAGGTGAAGATTAAAGATAACTAAATTTGGCTTAGGGGCAATGGCAGGGTGGCTAAGGGGAACAACAATATGGAAGTAGAAATTACCATATCTAAGGTGGAAGCCAAACTCAAACAGCTTAATGGGACCAAATCAGGGGGCCCAAATAATGTCCATCCAAGAATATTAAAAGAATTGGCATATGAAATTGCAAGCCTAATAGCAAGGATTTTTAATGAATCCCATAAACTCTGGGGTGATACCCTATAACTGAAGAATTGCAAAATATAGTACCTATATTCAAGAAAGGAAAAGTGATCAGGAAAACTACAGACCTATTAGTTTGACCTCAATTGTATGCAAAATCTTAGAACAAATCTTGAAAGACAAGAGTAATTAAAGACAGAGGAAAAAGGTAATACTGAAAGATAAACTGTCAGGCTGGAGGAGGTTATTAGTGGAGTTCCTCAAGGACAAATATGGAAGAGGATCTGAATATCATACAAGAAAATATGGATGACCTTAAAAAACTGAAATAATAGAAATGGGATGAAATGTAATAGGGACTAACAACAAGAGTTTTTGCTATAAACTGAGGACTTACCAGTTGGAAGTGAAAGAGGAACAGAAAAACCTGGGTGTATTGGTCGAACACAGAATGAGTATGAGCCACCAATGTGATGTGGCTGTGAAAGCAAATATCTCCAATGGCCTGACATGGGTCACTAAATGGGAGGGCTCTGAGTTACTACAGAGAATTCTTTCCCAAGTGTCTGGCAGGTGGGTTTTGCTGATATGCTCAGGGTCTAACTGATCACCATCTTTGGGGTCAGGAAGGAATTTTCCCCAAGATCAGAGTGGCAGAGACCCTGGTGTTCTTTCACCTTCCTCTGCAGCATGAGGTACGGGTCACTGGCTGGCTTGAACTAGAGTAAATGGTGGCTTCTCTGTAACTTGAAATCTTAAAATCCAAGATTTGAGGACTTCCATAATTCAGCCAGAGGTTATGGCCCTGTTGCAGGAATGAATGGGTGAGGTTCTTGTAGGCTGTGATATGCAGACTAAATGATCATGATAGGCCTTTCAGGCCTTAACGTCTGAGTCTATTATGTATAAACTAAATACAGTATAGATTAAACCTAAGAAATGTAATACAGCAACTTCCACTGAAGGCAATGAGAGCAGTGTATGAAAGGACAACAATTGTAGGCCTATATAAGTTGTTACCCGTGTTCACAAATGGTCTGACCTAAACTCCCTTTGTCAATGAGTCTTTCCATTGAATTTAATTTGTATGTTTTTCTCCCTCTCCTTTTGTTTCATTTTCACTTCTAAGTCGGTGTTACTTGAAAGTCTTTGCCTCCATATGACTAATCCATTTCGCAGTTGGCCGTCTTAGAGTTGCCAGCTCAGGTGACTGTATTACATATCTCACAATACTTGATGTTTTTCTTAAAATCCAAGCTGCTGGAATCATGTGGTCTCAGTTTTCATTTTAAAAAATAAAGCTTTCTGATCTCATGCTTGCAGAAACAAGCTTGAAAATGTGACCCCTAAAAGCTCAAATCCTAGAAGGCAAATAAAAAGCATGCAAAACTTATTTTTGAAAACCTGGTGATTTGTTAAGCCAGTCTTGACTTTGGGGGGAGGGAGCTAATGATTTTTGATCACTTGGGATTGGCAACATTGCAGTCTCAGTAAAAAGCCAAGAAGAAGTTGAGAAATGATTGCTTTTCCTTGCTCCTAGAGATGGCCATTCAGGTCAGGATAGACACACATTGGCTGGGCAGCATGGGGGAGTTTGCACTGCCACGTCACTCACTGTACCTGTTTTGAGTATACATGATTTCAGTTTCCAGAGTGTCACAGGGTTTTCTCACTGCTAGGTCATCTCCCCCTGGCTGCTCTGGGGACTGGCTCTTTCCAGGTCCAAACCCCCCTTCTGTCAGTCATTCACTGTCACCACTGCCCCTCTTGCTCTCTCTCTCTCGGACTCTACACAGTCCTATTTTGTGACTTGCTCTTCATGATTTGGCCCTCTGGCCAGGTCACTATAGCCCTCCCCTTCCGGGGTAGTAAAGTCACATTGGACAACTGTCCCAGGCATTCTCACATTGGACACTGCCCAGTAGGGTGACCACATGTCCCGATTTTATAGGGACAGTCCCGGTTTTTGGGTCTTTTTCTTATATAGGCTCCTATTACCTCCCACCTCTGTCCCGATTTTTCACATTTGCTGTCTGGTCACCCTACTGCCCAGTCTCTGCCACTTGCCCAGTGGCTGGTAGGGGAACCTGGGCCTACCAAGTACTCTGGGTTCCTGTCCAGGTGACCTATGTCTAGCACCTATGGACTGCATGCTCCCAGACGCTGTTTGCTATTTCCCTGATTCCTTCTGGCTTCCCCCTCTCTGGGTTTACTAGCTCATACTCCCTTCTCCTAGAGAGGAACTGCAGGCTACTTAACTCTGTAGTCCAAACACACCTCCCTTCTCCCAGGGATTGACTGTAGACTACTTCTCCTGGAGACTTTTTCCTACATCCCCTCTCAAGCTTCTGCTTCACCCCCTTTTGGGTAAAGTCTTCAGGGCCTGGATCCCCAGGGTTTCTACTTTACCACTGGGCATCTGTCTTCTCTAACATCCAGAGAGTAGCTGCAGGCTCCCTCGCTGCAGCCCCCTTCTGCTGCCAACTTCCTGGCTTTATACTAGCCCTGCTTGTTCCTTGTCATCTGTGCTCCATCATCAATCAGGAGCTACTCAAGCCACCTAACTCCTCTCAGCTGTGGCCTATCTGGTTAACTGGCCCCTTCTCAGCCTTGTTAACTTCCTCTAGGCAAGTGTGGGGTGACCACCCCATCACACAGAGTTATCAATCTGTCATAAGCAGTAAGTTCACTGTGGCCCCTGTTATGGCTGCACTCTGGGCAACACAGAGCTGATGCCCTGCCCATGTGGAGCAATAGACACCATTCTGCCACAGTGAGCTCGCAGGGTGCCCAGTGGTAGCATGCCTGCTACCATCACGCTTTAGTGGGGTGTAGCCTGCTTCTCCTTGTGTGCTGTTCTGCTCTGCTGGCCTGTGCTCAAGAGTGGGTGGTGTCAAAGAGTAGGGGAGGAGCTATGCCTCTCTGAGAGCAGGGATTGCTTGGTTTTATGCAGGCCAGCAAAAGATGATGAGGAGTCTTGTCCCCATCCCCCACTTCTATACATCAGTGTAAGGGGCTGGCACTATGTGCAGCACGTATAAGAGGCCAGGGAGACTAAGCTACCCCCCAAAACATAGGTGTTGGAACTAGGAGTGCTGGGGGTGCTGCTGCACCCCCTGGCTTGATGTGGTTTCCATCATATACAGGGTTTACAGTTTGATTCAATAGCTCTCAGCACCCCCACTACATAAACTGTTCCAGCCCCCCTGCCCAAGAAGGCTGGCCATGCGACCAGAAATGCCGTGGATGCAGCATGGGTCACCCCTCCAGAGGCGCGCTGGCCCGCTGCCACCTTTGGAGCACCAGAAGTGAAGCTCCATAGAAGTGGGGGAGCCCACCAGTGCCTACACCGTGGCCCCGCCTGTACTCCACCCCTCCCTGGCTCCGGCTCTTCCTCTTCGGACCCCCACCCACCACTTGCTCCTCTTCACCCTCTCCCACCCCCCATCGCTCGCCTAAGGCAGGAAAAAGTGATGGTGTCATGGCGCCACGGTCCCCGACCCCCTCGTTCCAGGGAGCGGAGCGAGTGGCCAGCATGGCATCAGGGGTAGGGACAGAGAGGAGTGAGCGGCCAGGGATGGGGGGCCCCTCAGGGGGAAGGGGCCTTGGCAACAGGGCCACAGCCCACGCACCTGTGCCCCCCCCCAGGAGCTTCTGGCACTCGCATGTGAGCCTCCCCAAATGGAAGATTCACACACCACTTATTCCTGGCACTATCCAGCTTTGTATTTTTTTTTAATCTAAAAATTTCCCAAGAAACAGATTCTAAGACAAGAAGGGACCATTCTAATCATCTAGTCTGACCTCCTATATAACACAGGCCACAGAACTCCCCCACACATAATTCCTAGAGCAGATCTTGTAGAAAATGATGCAGAATACACCATGACCCTTGATAAATTGTTCCAGTGGTTAATTACTCTTTGTTAAACTCTGTCCTATTTTCAGTCTGGATTTGTCTAGCTTCAACTTCCAGGCGATTGGATGGTGCTAGACTAAGGAGCCCATTATTAAATAGTAGTTCCCCATGTAGGTATGTGATGGGGTGCTCTACTCACCACTAGGATGGCACCTCCTCCTGGCCAGTCTAGAGATTAGCTTTGCGAGGTCGATGCCCCTTCCTGCAGTTTCATTCCGTCTCTCCCTCTCTCTGGTATGCAGCTCCTTTCTTGCTCCACGAGCTGCTACTGCCTGTTTGTGACTGAGCCGTCCGACCAGGTCGCTATACACATTTTCTTCTTCTGGGTTATCAGTCTTCCTTCAGCAATCCTAGGTAATCTTCCCATTCACTGCTTCATAGTGCCACTTCCTCAGTGGCTGGTAGGGAAACCCAGACCCACCTTCTACTCTGGGTTCCAGTTCAGGGACCCTCTAGTCCGTAGCTAAGGTCTGTTCCCTTCTGGAACTTAGTGCCTTTCCCTGAGCCCTTTCCTTACCATCTGGTGCTTCCCCCCATTGGTTTGCCAGTCTACTAACTCCCTCCTTCCAGGGAGTAACTGTAGGCACCTGTCTCTGCAGCCTCCAAACACTTCTCCTTTTTCCCAGAGAGTGACCGCCATCTTTCACAATAGTCCCCCAGCTTCCCATTTTCTGTCTTTCTAAACCGAGCCCAGCTCATTCCTCCTCAGTTGGACTCCCTCACTTAGTCAGGGGACTACTTAGCCACCTGCTTCTCCTCAGCCGTGGCTTGTTGGGTTAATTAGCTCCCTTCTCAGTCTACATTAACTCTTTCCGGGCAAGTGTGGGGTGAACAATCCCAACACAAGGTACTTAGCATAGGCGCCGGCTTCCTCATTTCCCCAGGGGTGCTCGACCCCCGCTCTGCCCCAGGCCCCACCCCCACTCCACCCTTTCCCTTAAGGCCCCTCCCCCACCCCACCTCCTCCCACCCCCACTCCACTCCACCCACGCCCCACCTCTTCCTGCCCCATTCCACCCTCCCCTCGCACTGCCCCTCCCCCCCCAGTGCCTCCTGCAAGCCACTGAACAGCTAATCTGTGGCAGGCAGGAGGTGCTGGGAGGGAGTGGGAGGAGCTGATCTGTGGGTCCTGAGCACCCACTATTTTTTTTCCATGAGTGCTCCAGCCCCAGAGCACCCATTGAGTCAGTGCCTATGGTACTTATTGATTGTAATTAAGTCACCCCTTAACCTCCTCTTTGCTAAAATAAATAGATTGAGCTCCTTGAGTCTATCACTATAAGGCAGATTTTCTAATCCTTTAATCAGTCTCTTGGCTCTTCTCTGAACCCTCTCCAATTTATCAACATCCTTCTTGAATTGTGGGCATGTGACAATATCCAAGTGATCAGAGTGCACCAATTAGTTTCC